GTATTCACCCATAGTCAAAATCCTCGTGCCTGGGAGGAAGTACCACCCGACCACGGCGCGTACGGACCACAGGGGCCGAGGAGGGCGGGGCCGCAGGCGAGGGCAGGGGCGCCAACGAGGGCCTCCCCACAGGGGGCGGGCCATGGGAGGGCGGCGCCGACGTGGGGGCAGAGCCAACTCCAACGGCCTGGAAATGTCCACGTGAGCAGGCTTAATCCGATCAACGGACACAGTCTCAGGCCTGCCACCAACGTCCACCACCAGGCTCTTGTCCCCGTGACGTATGACCCTGAACGGACCGTCGTAAGGGGGCCGCAGGGGACCGCGGTGGGCGTCGTGGCGAATAAAAACGAAATCGGCCGACCGTAATCCGGGGGACATCCGGAAAGCTGGGTTACTGTGCTGCGACGTGGGGACGGGCGTGAATGTCCCGGCGGTCTCCAGCAGGGAGGAGCGCTGCCCGGCTGCAGACCAGGGCACAGTGGCGGTGGGAATGAATTCCCCAGGGACCCGTAGCGTCTGACCATAGACGAGCTCCGCCGACGAGGACTGCAGGTCTTCTTTGGGGGCACACCTGAGGCCGAGCATAACCCATGGGAGCTTATCCACCCAGTTGCCGTCTATCAAGCCGGCACGCAGTGACGCCTTCTTGGACCGGTGAAACCGCTCACACAATCCGTTAGCCTGGGGGTGATATGCAGTGGTGCGGTGCAGCTTGACCCCCAAACCCACAGCAACAGCGTTCCACAGCTCCGAGGTGAACTGAGAACCGCGGTCAGAGGAGAGGTCAGACGGGGTCCCGAATCGCGCCACCCACGTGCCGATGAAAGCGCGGGCGACGTCGGAAGCTGATGTCGAGGCGAGGGGAACGGCCTCGGGCCAGCGGGTCGTCCTGTCCACCATCGTAAACAGGTAAGTGAAACCGTGAGAGGGGGGAAGCGGACCTACGAGGTCGACATTGACATGGTCAAACCTCCTCTCAGGAACCGCAAAAAGTTAAAAAGGGGCCCTAGTATGGCGGTGGACTTTGGCCCGTTGACAGGCCACGCACGAGTCGACCCAGGACCTCACGTCCTTCTTAAGCCCCTGCCACACGAACTTCTGTGACAACAACTTCACGGACGGCTTCCTACCGGGGTGGGAAAGATTGTGAACCGCCTCAAAAACGGGTCGACGCCAGTCCGCAGGGACCAGCGGTTGAGGCTGGCCCGTGGAGACGTCACACCACAGCTTTGCGCCAGAGTCACCGACCGTGACCTCCTCCAGGCGTAATCCCGTGACCGAGGCCTTGAGGGTCTGGACCCCGTGGTCAGCGCCCATGCGGAGGTAATCGAGGCCCAGCTGCACAGCTCCGATGACCGCTCTGGAGAGGCAGTCCGCGACCACGTTAGCCTTGCCAGCGATGTGTCGTATGTCCGTGGTGTACTCGGAGATGTACGAAAGCTGGCGTTGCTGTCGGGCGGACCACGGCTCGGCCACCTTGGACATGCAGAAGGTCAGTGGCTTGTGATCCACGAACGCCGCAAACTCCCGGCCTTCCAGCAGGAAACGGAAGTGGCGAACCGCCAAATAGAGACCAAGGAGTTCTCTGTCGAAAGCGCTATACTTAAGCTCCCTGGGAGTCAACTGGCGACTAAAAAAGGCGAGCGGTTGCCAGGCGCCGTCGACCCATTGTTCATGCACCACGCCCACTGCGTAGTCAGACGCGTCGGTGGTGATAGCGATGGGGGGCCCTGTGTGACGGGTGAGCCAACATGGCGGCTTCGCTCAGGGCGGCTTTGGTGGCGTTGAAAGCGACCCTCCCTTTCAGCCGTCCAGTCTATGGCCTGGCCGGGGGATTTGTCCCTGAGGGCCTCGTACAGCGGGCGCATGGTGTGGGCCGCCCGGCGGATGAACCGGTGATAAAACGTCACCATCCCGAGGAACTCTCGGAGCGCCCGAGCTGTAGGCGGTCGTGGAAAGGCAGACACGGCCTCCACTTTCGACGGGAGGGGGGCGGCCCCGTCCTTGCTGATGAGGTGCCCGAGGAAATGGATGGAGGACAACCCGAACTGACACTTCACCGGGTTGATAATCAGGCCGTGTTGGTTGAGCCTCGCGAAAAGGACCCGGAGATGTGCCTGGTGCTCTTCGGAGGAGGAGCTGGCGACCAGGATGTCGTCTAAATAAACGAAGATGAATGGCATGTCTCTGAGCGCTGAATCCATCAGCCGCTGAAAGGACTGAGCTGCGTTCTTAAGTCCAAACGGCATACGCAGGAACTCGAAAAGCCCAAACGGCGTAATTACCGCAGTTTTGGGGACGTCCGAGGGGTGCACCGGAACCTGGTGGTAGCCCCGCACCAGATCCACCTTGGAGAAAACCAGCTTGCCCGCCAGGTGTGCAAAGAAGTCCTGGATGTGAGGGACCGGGTAGCGGTCTGGCGTAGTGGCGTCGTTAAGGCGGCGGTAGTCACCACACGGTCGCCAGCCACCGGCTGATTTAGGGACCATGTGAAGCGGCGAAGCCCAAGGGCTGTCTGAGCGGCGGATGATGCCCAGACGCTCCATGTTGACGAACTCTGACTTGGCGACTGCCAGCATGTCAGGGTTGAGCCGCCGGACCCTAGCGTAGACAGGGGGGCCTTCAGTGTCAATGTGGTGCTCTACCCCATGTTTGGTAGTGGCAGCGGAAAAGGTGGGCTGCGTCAAGTCGGGAAACTCACTGAGAAGGTGCTGGAACTTGTCGCCCTGTGAGAGTGAGCTGGAGAGCCCGCTGAATGACGCCTCGCCGCGGGTACACGTGAACGAGGCAAACGTCAGTGCGTCCACCAGGCGGCTGTTCTTGACGTCCACCAGCAGTCCGTGAGCGCACAGGAAGTCTGCGCCGAGGAGAGCGAAGGAGATATCAGCCGTGACGAAATCCCACTTAAACCGCTGACCCTCGAAGCACAGGTCCACTGTCTTTGTGCCATAGGTGCGAATAGGGGTGTCGTTAGCGGACGTTAAAGGTGGGCCGTGGCCTCCACCGGCAGCGTCCTCCATGGTAGCCGGCAGGACGCTCCGCTGGGCTCCTGTGTCACAAAGGAGTCTGCGACCAGAGAGGGTGTCCCTGATGAACAGGAGCCGGTTGGATGTGCCCACGCTCGCGGCCACTACCGAGCGCAGGCCTTGGCGTTTCCCGTTACCTTGTAGGTAAAGGGAGGACGGCACATCTTCGCTTTCGCCCCATAGCGTGCATGGTAATAGCACAGGCCAGGGCTGGAGTTGCTGACGTCGGCCCCGGAGCTTCTGCTAGGTGGCATGCCTGTACCAGGGAAGGTGCCGCTGCGTGTCGGGGCCAGCACCTCCAGGGCAAAACGCTGGGTTGCCAGGAAGAACCGGTCAGCTTCTTCGGCCAAAGCGCGGGGCTCAGTAATAGCCGTGTTAGCGAGCGCTGTCTGTACATGCGGCGGCATGTGCCGAAGAAACAGTTCTATGAACAAAAAAGTAGGTTCTTCCGTACCCAGCAGGCTGAGCATCATCTCCATGTGGTCAGAAGGCTTGTTGTCCCCCAGGCTATGAATAGCGAGCAGGCGTCGGGCCCGTTCCGACCGCGACAGCTCGAAAGTCTTTAGCAGGAAAGCCTTGAACGCTGCATATTTATCCTGGGCAGGAGGAGATGTAATAAAGCCCACCGTCCAGGTCGCAGTGGAGCTCCCCAGCGCCCAAACGACGTGAAAATAGCGTGCTGCGTCGTCAGCCACTCCGCGGAGGGCGAACTGAGCCTCCGCCTGAGCGAACCATGCAGCTGCAAATGTCTCCCAAAACTCCGGCAGTTTGAAAAAAACGGCGTTACTTGCCATGCTCGGTTCAGTCTCGGATCCTTCAACAAGACTTATGTCGGGGGCACCAATGTGGTGCCGAGAGACGGGAGTCGGAGGCGGGGTATCAAAGTTACAAGCTCTACTTTTATTTAGCATCGGAACACACATGTAAACAACTTCATGCCCGGGAAGCGAAGACCGGCGGAAACAGGAAGTCCGGCTCACTCAAATGTCCGTGCGGAACAATACCCCAACCCATAGATCCGTGGGTGAATAATGTCAATCACCACAATATATAATATATATATGTATACAATAATTCCCAGGGCTATAGCTTAGATTTTAAAGTTGCTGATTTTGTCCAACACATATTTCCGATACCAAAGATATTCCACTGTTGTCCAAAAGGTATTACAAATATATAAATTTGACATACTGTTGCACTGGTTGACAGAAGTTGTTGTGGTTGGGTAGGGCTGAACGATATATCGTGTCATGCGCGATATTCACATCGCAGGGACGTGCAATTTTCTTACTTTTTTTATTTTTATTTTTTCATTTTTATTTTTTAGGACGTGCGATATTAAATTGGCAAATTAACTCAAACATATTATGTTACAATTATTTTTGCTGCTTGCTTCAAAAGGAAAACTTGCGCGGCTCTCATGTCAGGGGTACTTGAGTGAGTGACATGCAGGCTCTGCATGCACAGCAAACCACCAATCACAATCATTCTTGATCAGATCACAGCAGGCCCGCCCTGCTAGTTTGCAGACGATCAAAACACCGGTAAAAAATGAGCGAGGCACAGGAGGACAATACCGGCGAGAATGAAGATTTACTTCCAAAAAGAAAAGCAACATCTGCCATCTGGAACTATTTTGGATACAAAAAGGTTCTTCTCTTCTTCACAGATGAACCCCCTTATTTGAGGGTAAGCAACATGCATTATCATGACATGTTAGATCATGACTTAAGGTATGATGAGTCAACCAGTTAAGATCCAGACTTCCGTGACTGAAATCCTTCATCCGGTTAAATATAGTTAAAAAAAACGCAATATATATCGCAGTGGAAAAAAAATATATCGCAATGTCAGTTTTTTTTCAATATCGTGCAGCCCTAGTGTGGAGTGTGTGGGGCCAGAATGTAAACTATGTTCATGATGATGATAATGATGATAATATTGATGCTGATGATGTTAATCACCACGCAGGACCAGAATGCCAAGGAGAAGGCGCTGCAGAGCATCTCCTCCATGTCTTCGGCTCAGATCGTCTCAGCCACCGCCATACACAGCAAGCTCCTGCCTGGGATCGTACGGGCCAGCTTCCCCAGCAATGCACAGGTAACACACACACACACACACACACACACACACACACACCACACACACACACACACACACACACACACACCACACACACACACACACACACACACACACACACACACACACACACACACACACACACACACACACGCTATGTATTCTCTTCAATAGATACAGAAAACACAAGGACATCAATAACTGTAAAGCCATTTTTTGTGCATGGCCACATATGCTCTGTTTGAAGTCCCGGTGCAAATCTAACAACAAACAAACATTGTCCAGGTTTGCTGCCTTGGTCGTGTGTATTCATGTGTGTTGTTTTTCTTAGCTGTGGCAGGGGATGATTCCTGGAGGACAATCTAGCGCCGCCACTGAAGAGTAAGTCAAACTCAACTGGTACACTCATATCTAACGTAGTTTTACATTTTAAGCTTTGATATGGATTTATTTTTCTGAAAAATATCTCCTTTATCATTCTCCTCCTTTAGTTACTCATTCATACATATTATACAATGTACACCACTAGGCTGTCTCTTTGCATCCATACTGCTTTTCATATTTCTTACATTAGTATGCTCACACGGCTAGTGACTAGTGGGGACCATTGTGATAGAAGTTCAAACCCTTTTCCTTTCATTGCCAGCTGCCATTAAATGACCATGTGGTGATGATGATGATGATGATAATGGTAGTACAGTAAATGGGGCTTGTATAGCTTTTACTGAACCAAGAGACACTCTTGACTTCTGTGCTCCTGCTACAGAATTCCTTGCTGTATAATCTAGATACGTGAATGACCTACAATGCTGTCTCTTCTTCTTTCTCATGTCTGTCTGTGACTCTCTCAGTATTAAGCCATTCTCCTCAGCAAGCCTACTCTGTGCAGACAGCGGGGATCACCACAATTCTCAGGTGAGAGAAACCACTGTGCAATTATATCCTTTCTGTAAAGCAAACAGGCGGTCCTGCGTCCCTCCATTTAGGGCCCTGGCTCTCTACAGGGTTGTGGTTGGTCCTCTTTTTGATTTTGTCTTGTAAAGAGGTCAAACGAAAAAAGGTGTCATCTTACTTTTCTGGGAATTGAGATCCAGAAACCTTCCTGCAATTGCTGATTATAGTTATAGGTTTTGTCAAAATGTACTGTATGTTTCAGAGATTGTGACTTAAAATTAACATACATTTTCCCTACGGAATAAACATATACTGTATATCCTTGGTTTTACTTTTACAATTTTTTAAACAAGAAAAATATTTTTCTGTTTTTGTTAAAGCACCCCGACATTATTGTGAAATGTTGGTTTAGTTTGAAATGGTGGTACTTTAATATGCTGTCATTTGATTATATGCCTATCATTTCACTACAATGCAACACAGGCAACAAGCACTGGGATAGGTATTGATTTTTTCCCATATATAATTAAGAACTTCGTACCATGACTCCATAAATTACCTAGTGATATACGGAGTGCTAGAGTTGACTACAACTTGACCCTTTATGGAGAATATCCCCCTTACCTCTGTTATTTAGGAGGACCATTGTGCAGGAGCTGCTGATGACTCAGCGTGCTTTGTTATAAGATAAAAAACATTTAACACCTAGTAGGAAAAATCTGAGCAGGCTAGTCTTAACAAGTTAGCTATTTCTAGAAGAACAACTTTAGCAGGCTAGTCTAAATCAGTTGGCTGATTCTAGCAAGAAGATGTGTGCAGATTAGTCTGAAATAGTAAGCTAATTGTAGTGGGAAAATGTTAGCAAGCTAAACTAGCTAGGTATTCTAGTGGGGAAATAACAGGCTAGGCTAACTAGCTTTTGCACTACGCAATGAATATTGTTAGCATACCTTTGTAGCCTCAACTAATAACAGTGATGATGAATGTTTTTCATAGACAAACTGCTTACAGTTTTAAGTTAATAGCCAGTGCTCTCTGGGAAATACAAAAATGTCTTATAACAGTTTTACAGCCAGTATAACACCAGAGAGGGTCAGATTGTGTCTGAAAGCAAGTTAACCACCACAAACTGTATCCCCCTAGCTTTTGGGTTAGTGTTTTAACAATAACAACAAAAAACAGCTTTAGTATCGAAGCAGTTAAAAAATCTCAAACAAAAGTGAGGAGAATTACATTTTAAGTTTGATTTTGTTTAGGGCTTTTTCAGGGAGTTCAGATTGGCTCATATTACGCAAACTGCCCCTTTTCCCCCCTAAATTAATCAGCCATGTGGAACAAAAGACACCTTGTGGTTGTAGCAAAAGCGACAATCTTAAAAAGCCAAAACATTTGTAACTGAACTCCCCTTAATTGCCTGCTGATAGGTCCCCCAAACATTTTTAACAACTCATTGAGGTCACAGAGTTGTACATTTTACTCAAAATGATGGCAAACCGTCAAAAGCGAGAGGCTTTAAAAATATGGTGTCCCTGTACCTTTTACATCTACTTTGTTAACACTGCCCTTTCATCCTTCAAATCTCAGTCAGGCTTACATTTTAACACGATTATAGCGAAATAATAAATGCTTGAATAACCCCTGTTAAAGCTAGCATGATTGTACATGATGGTGGTTGGGAATGAAGTTGCTTTTAACCAGAGTGTGTGTTGGTGTGTGTGTGTGTGTTGTGTGTGTGGGGGTGTGTGTGTGTGTGTGGCTGTGTGTTGTGTGTGTGTGTGCTGTGGTGGTGGTTTGTGTTAGCTGTGTGTGTGTTTCCTGTGTGTTAGCTGTGTGTGTGTGTGTGTGTGTGTGTGTGTGTGTGTGTGTGTGTGTGTGTGTGTGTGTGTGTGTGTGTGTGTGTGTGTGTGTGTGTGTGTGTGTGTGTGTTGTCTAGGCTACGAGCCTCCTGCTGCAGCCCAAACACACAGAGAGCCAGCTTGGCATGGTCGCTCCATCGGCACCACCAAACTACGACTGGTAGAGTTTTCATCTTTCCTGGAGACACAGAGGGACCAGGAGGCAGTGAGTACAACACACACACACATGCACACACACCCACGGTCTGCAATAAGCTCTCCCTATTGTCCCATAAACAGAGATGACAGATAACCCCACAGCAGAGAACCGTGTTAAAGCCCTTTGTAGTATCCTAGTATGAATAACCTTTGTAAAGCTCTATCTCTGTGTCTGCTCACTCTATCCGTCATCCTGTCACACTGTGGACTCGCTGTCATTATTCTACCTTGGGCTCACAGACAGCTGGCATTCATCTTGTTACAACTGTTTGGACAGTTACAAACCTCAAACGGTTCTATGTTGACTTTAAAAATAGACTCTGTTGCCAATAGGGTCATGTTTCATGGATATTTTACATTGTAAATAAAGAGGCATTTGGCAATACAATTTATCATAGCATTTATGATACACAAAGATAAAGATGAGCACAGAGAGCACACACCTCCACAAAGGCCAATGATGCCTTCAAATGGTCCTCGGATGGCCCCATTTTCAGAGTTGGGAAGTTGTTCTTCTTACTTTTTGCATGTTTAAGAGCTTTAAATCCTAATGTCGTACATGGACGCAACACATAACATTCTAGTTCAAAACCACACTAGAGTGTTAAGGCGTTAACTTGCTGTTTTCTGAATGTATTGTTTATTGAGTTTACGTGCATTTTCTTGGTCAGGAACGACCATTCACTTATTAATCCTACACCACATGAATGCAGCACAAATGTCCAACCATTCGTTCAGCCATAACTCCCTAATATCCTGTGATTACTTTTATGAACATTTACCGATTGTAATGAACTTTCCTTGGATCTTCCTCCGTCTTTGCTGATGTTATTACAAGCTGCGACTGACACAAAATATGGCGGCGCTAGGATACAGTGACAGTCACTTGGTCCCCATGAATCTCCTAATATTATTGTCAGTGAAACATAACTTGTGTACTCACAACATTTTTAGGATCCGCTTTTAAATTGAATAGGTCCTTCCTTGGTCTGTGCTAGACCCTTCAACATTTCATATCAAAACAGCCAATAGTTTTTCACTATTCCTGCTCACAAACAAACTGTGCCTCTTTGGCAGTGGTATAAAGAAGTAGCTTGTTGCTTGTAAGAAGCTTAAGTAATACATTAGTACGATTTTATTTGACTTTAAACGTCTAGTCATCCAAGTTTGAACAGTGGCCTGTTGCTGTTTAAAATGGAACTATTTTAAATTGTATTTCTATCATGAAAGTAATACATAGGAGTGCTTTAAACCTTAGTCTACATTTTGCTCCCTAGTTTAAGTTTCTTTGTAGAGGTTTCTTGTAAACCTACAGTTATGGAAACATTCATTGTTTCTCACACTTCTATTATATATAATATTTTTGATTTACATTGCTTACATCAATGTTTGCAAATTAGCTGTCTTCTTCCTTGCTATCTTGGTGCATTACTACTTTTTTTATGCAGGAATCTGTTTCAGTTTCTCCATGTATGCTTGTGATTGTCAAAGCTCCATGGGACACCTTCCATTTGTGAGATGTGGGGAGGGACAGCTATGTCGCCACGACCTGTCTCCCGTTGACTCCAGTTAACTTTTTTTTCCTCAACAATCATAAGACGATACAACACAGTCCTACATTTAAGACAAAACCTATTAAAAAAACAGAAATAAAACAGACACACAAACAAATCTAGCAGGAGTAGATAATCTCTCCTATGACAAAATGGACATCAGTTTCTCAATAACCTTTTAAAAAAATGTTTTTGTTTTGTTTTCTGTAATATCGTGAGGCGCACAGTATACAATACAATTTGAATAGCGTGTCTGCATACATAATTGGAGTCTAATCCCCAAATTAAGATGATATGGATTTCGAGGTGTGTCTTCCCCATAATGCATGGGACATATATGTTTAAGACTGTCAAATCTCATGAATTAAGGGCTTTTTGTTCAAATAAAATTGGTTGACCAATTTATCCGAATGAAGCCCATTCTACACAAAATACTATGTTGTTTCTGTCTTTCTTTTGCGGTTTTCTATCCCATATTGAGATCAGCTGTTTTTTATCAACCCATTTTCCGCCTCAATCCTTGGCTAATTCAAAGTTTTCCTCCCCTCAGTATAACAAGCACCTGTTTGTGAACATCAGCCAGAACAACCCGAGCTACAGCGACCCCATGCTGGAGTGTGTGGACATCAGACAGATCTACGACAAGTTCCCCGAGAAGAAAGGGGGCCTGAAAGAGCTGTTCGCCAAGGGCCCGCAAAACGCTTTCTACCTGATCAAGTTCTGGGTGAGCAGACAAACACTTACCTACTTCCTGTTCATGCAAGAATTTTATTTCATTTCAATCCCATTCTATATTCATTTGACGTAATTGAGGCCTCACAGACATTGGCAGAGACTTTTTGATTTTGTTATTGTCTCCACCTTATACCTTGAGTTTTTCACCCAGTGCCATGTCTTTGTCTGTATGTGTTTGTGTGTGTGTGTGTGTGTGTGTGTGTGTGTGTGTGTGTGTGTGTGTGTGTGTGTGTGTGTGGGGGGCCGTGTGGGTGCCGTGTGTGTGTTTGTTCTGTCTTCCCACCTGGGATATGGAGGTGGTGGGTTGATGAAAGCACAGTCGCTTTGTTTTGAACACCTGCTCACCTCCTGACTCACAGGTTGCTCTCTGTCTCCACCTGTGTGTGTGTGTGTGTGTGTGTGTGTGTGTGTGTGTGTGTGTGTGTGTGTGCATGTCTGTCTGTGTGTCTTTGTCTGTCTCTCCCTTACGAGTCAAGGACTTTAGAAAATATCCCTGCAACATAATTCATCCCATGTTTGTCTATTCATAAACTTCAGAGTAATATTCACAGTCTCTAAAGACTTTATAACTTTTTTCACGGTTGACGTGAAAAGACAGAATTGATTCTGATCTGCCTGTCTGGTAGGTCTGAGACTTCCTACCTCAAGGAACTATTTTGTATGTCTCACATTTCATCCATGTTTGCGATCTTTTGGATTATACAGTGAAAGTAGGGGTAGATTTACAAATACAATTCTAAAAGTTATTTTTAAATAACTGCTTCCTGGTATCAGACAAAAATATATTTTTCAGGGGACTCATCCTGCTGGAGACAAGGGGTTTTTATTAATGCCAATTATTAACAGAGCTTTTGAAACTGCGATATTATTCTTTTTAAATTAAATAAATATGGTCATAGAGAGAGTAATGTATTTTAGATTTAATTTAAGTGTACTTTAGCTAGGCCTACTACTACTACCAAAAATGACTTTTTTTAAATGTATATATTTGTTTGAAAAAAGGAGAGAACTGAAAACACATATTACAAGACTTTATTTCATTATGAAATACATTTATGTAATGGAAATTATTACCCTTTCTTCTACGCTACATGAAAACAGATTTCCGTAATATTGGGCTAACTGGGGACAATACTTTAGTCGCATGAATGCAATCATCAGAAGTAAATAGCTAATGTGAATGTAAGGCTATAAACAAACTACTCTAAAGGCTTCACGTCCCCAACGCTAAGCTAAAGGCGACTAACGTTCAGCAGGATGACGGGTAGTAGTCTCCTTCAACCACTTGTTAGCAACCGCCTTTTTAAAGACAAATAGACGCTTCGTAATAGTATTTATTTAGCTTTTTACTGACATATCCCTTTCTTGTATAACAAAATGTGAACATCTCTTTAGCTTCTACCACAGATCTTATTTCAGGCATCAAACCAAAAATTAATAAAAAAGGGTTGAAAAAAAATGCTCAGAACTAATCAAATGCTGACTCATTTTCAGGGTCAAGGACTCATCCCTGCACCACTTTATTGTAGCTCACGTTGCAGCAGACAATGCATGGTTTGAACAAATTCCTTTCACCTTTACACGTGTGTTTTTGCTTAGATAAGACGACACCACGAGTCTTTGAAGGATATCACCTTTTGCTAAAGCCCCATGCATACCGCTTCAGTGCAGAAATCCAAAGCTTGACAGGCTTGCTGTGGCTAGTTACGGTTGCTAACCTATTATTGGACGATCCCTTTTGGGGGCGGGGTTTAACAAATGGTTAATTATCAGGGCGCTGGACAGTGTGAACGAAGCTGTGAGGTTGTCAGCAGTAAAATCATGCAGGGGACGACAGAAGCCTGCAGGCCAGTGAAGTGGGTTCACTATACAATGAAGAAGAGATGAGACGTGCTTGTAGCATGACAACAAACAAAGAGAGTGTGTGTGTGTGTGTGTGTGTGTGTGTGTGTGTGTGTGTGTGTGTGTGTGTGTGTGTGTGTGTGGTGTGTTGTGTGTGTGTGTGTGTGTGTGTGTGTGTGTGTGTGTGTGTGTGTGTGTGTGTGTGTGTGTCTCTGAATTTAATTAAAAAGCTCTCTGATCTACCACAATGGAGCATGTTTTCTGATCATCTGCAGCTGCTTTATAGAGCATATATGTTGGTGTGTGTGAGTATGAGTGAATGGATGTACAAGGGCTTGACTTAGCATATGGAGTGTGTGTTTATTCTCAGCCCTGAGACACATGTTGCTCCTTATAGAACTCATTATAAACCCTTCTCCATGTCTCTCAGCCTGTCATCCAGGTGCAACATGTTCTCAGTGATTACATTTGAAATGACACATAGTTAAACAGGAACCATTTCTACCCTGTTGTATCTTCCAGTACAGTGAATACTTGCAAAGGTTCCATAGGGGGCCTTATTTTGTATTTAGTGGTTTTCCCTTTCCTGTAGTGTTTTATAGCCGTGCAAGGCAAGTTTATTTATAGAGCACCTTTCAACACAAGGCAATTCAAAGTGCTTTACAAAAAGGAAAAACATTAACGGCATTAAGAAATAGTGCAGCAGAAACACATTTTAAAATGGCATTTAAAAACAGTCATTAATATAGGTGTTTTTGCATTTAAATGGCAAAAATCCTAAAGTTCCCTCACAGGTACTCAAAAATGCATTAAAGTACTCAAAAACGCATTACAGATATCTTTTAAAATTCATAAATAATAAAAACAACATTTAAAATAAAACACAAATGATTAATTACACTGAAAGCAGCTCTAAATTGATTTGTGACAAAGATAGGAATCGAGTTTTGTTCAAACCCTTTTAAAAGCAGTCTGGGATGGAAGAAGAAATCACATCAGCTCCCTCAGAACCTGGACAAATACAATCATATATGCATATCTGATCTCACTACTAGTAAATATATCTGTAATATTTAGATTTGGATGAACCAACCTTTAAAATATTTCAGGTGAAAATAGTTAAAAAAAAAGTAAATGCATATTATATCTGATTTTAAATTGACAATGACAATATATGTATATCATGAGAAATATGAGTGTGGGCCCAGGTTTTAGAACAGACCAGCAGAGGGCACTGGTTCTACTTTGCTCTCATGTTTCTGTGGATTGATTAGACTGTTTGGTAATAAACGTTGAAATGTTACACTCTCGTTAATGGTGTACTTTTTACATTTATTTCTGTGTTGTTGTCAGGCGGACCTGAGTTCTAATGTGCAGGACGACCCGGCAGCGTTCTATGGAGTCACCAGCCAATACGAGAGCTCGGAGAACATGACCATCACCTGCTCCACCAAGGTCTGCTCCTTCGGCAAGCAGGTGGTCGAGAAGGTTGAGGTGAGGAGGAGTTCAAATGATTGTGGTCAGAAATACTGTATGAGATTGTTTCAGACTTACAGATGCATAAACAACATGCCTTTTGGGATTGAGATATTTCAGGAAACAGGTGCACAGAGTTGTGATAAATCATAGCACGACGCACTCCAAACATTTTATAAGATCCCGAATAGCAACTTTCTCCCTGGTAAATACAAAATATTTAACAACTTTGTACCACAGGCTTTCAGTTCAAATTTGTAATGATAAATCCTAATGACATTAAATAAACCTTTATGACATCATTAGTATTACTTTGTGAGGTGACACAGTATTCCACAGCCACATGAGACATTATAATTGATTTTCTTACAGGATTGGCTAATAACTAGTAAACCTATTCATATGTGTACTTAAACAAAATGGTGGACTTCTTCTTAACTATCTAATTTCTTTCTTTCTCTCTTAGACGGAGTACGCACGGTTTGAAAATGGCCGCTTCATTTACAGAATCAGCCGCTCTCCGATGTGTGAATACATGATCAACTTCATCCACAAGCTCAAACACCTTCCTGAGAAATACATGATGAACAGCGTGCTGGAGAACTTTACTATTCTGCTGGTGAGGACTTCTGTCAGTCTCAATTTGCTATTTGAAGTGCATCCTAATGCAAAGTATGGCCAAATGCAATGCACTCTGAGCAACTGGATATTGTTGTTAGAAGTGTACACGTGGAACACTGTATCCTTAGTTTATGATACTCAACGATTACATATTAGCTTAACAACGGAAGTTGCGCGACCAGCATTATAAAAATCAAAGTCATACATGTGGGTCTTATCATAGCCTATTTAATAAACACACCACTGTAAGACATAGATAGATAGATTCAACTTATTGTCATTACACAGTACAGGTACCATGTAATGAAACGGTTTCTCTGCATTTGACCCATCCTAGTGTTAGGAGCAGTGGGCTGCCATTAAGTACGGCACCCGGGGAGCAGTGTAGGGAACGGTGCCTTGCTCAGGGACACCTCGGTAGCACTTGGTCTTTCCGGGACTTGAACTGGTGACCTTCCAGTTGCCAAGCCAAGTCCCTATATGGACTTCGCCACCACCGCCCTATAATGTATTAAGGGAAGTCTTTAAAATAGGGACACAGCATATGTCTGTCTATGAACGTTATATGGCGTATATTGAGTATATTGAGTGAATAATTAAAGTTTATATGTTGTTGTTTCTTTTTTACTGTATGCAACCTATACATGCATATTTAAAAACTTGTAATATTCTTTCCCCTCTCTGTTTGTCTGTGTGTCCAGGTTGTGAGCAACAGAGACACTCAGGAGACCTTGCTGTGTATGGCGTGTGTGTTTGAGGTGTCTAACAGTGAGCACGGAGCTCAGCACCACATCTATCGACTCGTCAAGGACTAACACACACACACACACACACACACACACACACACACACACACACACACACACACACACACACACACACACACACACACACACACACACACACACACACACACACACACACACACACACTTATCAAACACACACACATAAGGCCTTTTGCTTGGTGATTAATGGTGACATTGGAGGTAAAATGTCAAAAAACTGAATTCTACAAAAGTGTCTTTCAGCCAAAGTACTCGACCTAGTGAGAAAGGAAATGGCTTCATTTTTACTGCAAAACATCACAATAATAATTGGGTATTTTTTGTATTATTAAAATCATCTATAAATCAGTTTGCTTCAAGATCCTCCATTTCAACACAACAATATTCACTCCAACCTCTATATCAGATGGTAATTAGCTGTAAAAAAAAAATACATTGATTATTAAAAAAGCACAATGAATCACATCAGAATCTAACTGGGTGGTTTCCCCAAAAACATTCTGAATCTGATATCACCGAGAGACGTCTCCTCCTAATTGGTTTCTTCCCTTTGTTTCTCCCAATACATTTGTATTTTGCTGTTCTGTAGATGGAAATGAAAGTGTTATTTCTGTCAAGTGCTTTTGGGAAATTCCACCCTGGGAAAATAAATTAAATTCCCTCCTCCCTGTGACAAAAGAGTGTGTGTTATCTGCCAAGATACTGACGGACACTGAAGGTCAGACCCTGTGTATCATCAATAACAAGAAAAAAAAAAAACTATTGCATTATGCATCATATAGTACACGATAGAGTTGGTTTTGTACATATATCCACTGCAAATTGTGTGAGCTAGATTCTTGCACATAAAAGAGGTTTGTTCCCAAAGAAAATAACATTTTAACTTTTTGTATGTTTTCTTTAAAAAAAAACACAAAAAAAGAATAGCTTCTGAACTTTGGGAAACTGTTTATTGATAGTAGCATATAGACTATATTTTAATTCCAGGAACACTATCTAAAATGTATGTTAATAACAAGAAAGTATAAATGACATGTAATCATTCAGGTACCTGTTTGTGCAACAAGCGTCTCTTCATTCAGATTGAAGAAAAACATGTTAAAGATACAATCCTTAAGCTTTCAGTCCTGGCTCTTTTGGCAGCTATTGACAAATAATAAGATCATCTGAATATATTGAATGGTTATTGTTAAAACAAATGCAGACCAAACTGGGTCAGATTTCTGTACAATCTTAAGGATTATAACTTTACATTTTAAATAGGTTGTGGTCAATCAATTGGGAAGCACTGTGACTCTTTAAAACTATACAACATCCTTCATAATGTTCAAGGGAAGAAACATTCCAAACTGTTCAAAATAACCTATGCTTTTAAAAAAAAAATCATGTTTCACTTAGTTAATTTATCTTAGTTTAATAAACTTAGTTCAGTATTCTTGCACCAGCTAACTTGAGCTGACAGATGTGTTTAAACCTGAAATGTTCTTACGTCTTACATATTTGAATTGCCCTGACTAGAAGCCATGGTGCAGTGCTTCATTTTAGGAAAGTGGTTGAAGACACAGTTCCCTAAATAAAGGTTACTTTGTTTTTTCAGGTATTTAATGAATATACGACTTTACTTGTGTCCAAGGGTAGCCTCTGTTAATTTTAGGGTCAATTGACCAGTGTGTAAGGATTTTCTACCAGAAAAGATAGCTTTGCTAGCAAACATTGTCACGTCCAATGAGCGCATAGCAAACTATAAGCCATGGCATGGTTTTTCATTTTGAGAGAAAGTGGTTGAAGACACATTTCCCTTTAATCAGTCCAGGACTTGTTTCTTCCAGTTTTATGATAGTATGTCAGAATTAAAGTCATTTATAAATCAAAAACCAAAAACTGTTGATTAAGTGTACTGTAGCAGGTGGTCAGAAGTGGTTTGTTTGTGTCATGCCCAGCAGCATGAAGTGCCTTTGGTTGGGAACAGCAGTAGACATTTATAATCTGTTTCATGAAAATAATTTGGTGTCGTAAATGTGTGTATAGAAAGGCATTTGAGCTAATATAAATGCATAATTACGTTTATCATGCTCCAGCTTTCAGCGTCTGAGGGCTAAATATCCAAATTCCATATTTAATGGCTGTTTCTTGTTGTAATTTGTTCACAGTGAGCCTTTCTAAAGTATCTTAATTGTTCCCAAATGTTAATGAGACATGTTCTTGTTTGCTTCTTTTAACGGCACTATTTACATGTATTTGTATTTGTGTATTACATGGTGGTTCATGTTGAAACAGCTTGCACATTGTCTGGTGCCTCATTTATAAAATACAAATTGGACTTGTTACTACGAGAGAATGCCAATTCTATTTTTGTCTTTATATCGCTGCTGTAAAGTTATTTAAAAAGTCCTGAAGGGTTAGGGTTGGGGTTACGACATACCGAAGGACCATGGACCAGCATGCTGTGTTCAACCATGGAGAACACAGTATGCTGATTAAAACTATGTCAAGAATCACATGGTTCTGTTTCCTGTACTCACTGGGATGCTTAGTGGTGTCTAGAATATTTGAAGAAAAAACACTTAAGTTTGACCAGTTTACTAGACCTGAAAAGAGCCATCTTTGGTCAACATTGGCTAACTGTTGGCAGTCTTAAAAGGACTCATACCTGAGTCAGATCTTACTGGTCTGGAACCAGTCTTTTACATTTGTGCTGAAGAATGTTAGGGTCCAGGGCCGGACTGGGACAATAAGTCATGCCGGGAATGATACACCCAGCCAGGCCACTACAATTTTTTCCATTTTGCTGGATTTATTTGTCAATATTTACAGCGTTGCTGCCCATAGTGATAGCCCTCTAGTTTACTACCCAAAAATAAACATATGGACATGGGTCACTATTTAAAAAAATGTGCAAATCTATTTAGGAATCTATTCATGTGAACATATTTTAAGTGGGGGTGGACCTCAAATCCTCTAGGGGGGTCCGGGGGCATGCTCCCCCGGTTTTAAATTTGGAGTTAAATGCATCAATCTGGTGCATTTTGAGGGGGAAATAAAGAGACTACACCCATATGAAACAGAACTGTATACATTTAAATAATCATAAAATCATAAGAACATGGCCATAACCAATAACATACCATATCCAATATGAAAAAACATTGAAACTTGTATATTTATTTGTTTTTGGTTCATTTATAGTTGTGAGTGTGTCTGTGCTCCTGAATCAGCCTCTCCTGTCTCCCTCCTGCTCCTCTCTGAGGCAGCAGCAAAGACTAGTTTTAGCTCTCAACAAGTTTTAAAAGTGTATCTTACCTTTTTGCACCTAGTTAACATTTTATTTGTATTATTCATGCATATTTTACTAATCACTCCCCCCTCAAATGGAAATATGTGTTTACATAAATGGTGACCAAACAGTTTGAGACCCACAGAGATAACTTACACTAAGTTAACTATCTAAACACTCAGAGAGTCCTTTACCTCACCTGAGCTGCAGTTATCAGCCTCTCAGTCTGACAGCAGAGGACTCTCTCCCCACCTTATATCCGTTAGCGCAGCTAGCTAGCACCAGATGCTAACAACAACAATACACGTAACCGGTGTGCGCGCTTTCTCGCTCGCTCGCTCGCGCCACACACCCTCCCGAGCTTGAATGACACACAGAGACCAATCAAGCCAGTCACCCTCTGTGAGGCAGAGTCAGACCCACATTTGCGCAGCGTTGCGTTCACAATACATTAAAAAAAATCCTCAGGCCAGCAGGCCACTTAACAGGCCAGGCCATCGGGAAACCTCCTGGTCCTCCCGATGGCCAGTCCGGGCCTGTTAGGGTCTGTCATCGTCCAAAACAGCTTTATCTTGTCTCAAGATTGCTGTGGGTTTCTTTTAGGGTTACAAACACCTGTCCAACTAAATGCAACCCTTTCAACTTACTGGTGAATCATTCTGTCAGGAAAACCCCTTTCAAAAACCACGGCCTTTAACTTTCCCAGAGCTTTGCCTCACTACAGTGGTTTGTTGTTTGCAGGCAGACTATAGACCTTCACAGCAGAGTACTAACACGTAACACGTACATGCTAACTTAACACACAGCCTCAGAGGGGCTGATTTTGCAATAATGACCCTCTGTTTGGTCATTGTCTACCACCTGCTTACCAAAGACAGTCATCATGTGACAGAAAGTACAGAGGAATAAGGGACTTATGACACTCTAGAGTAACTTACCACTAGCTTCTGCCAAAAATAGTTTCAAAGAAAAGGACACTTAACATCCTTAGCTCATGGGCTACACTGTAAAACAGATGTTAGTAAAACAACAAAGAAATGAAAAACAAATAGGATTAATGAACCTTTTGTGTTTTGAGCCTAGTTCAGAAAAGGGCATTTTTGTATTTCGAGACACTTTAAATTCGATTAAATATGGACACCTCTTTTCATCTTGGTTAGCAGACGGAGTAAGTAAGGTCACATGAAACTGATTTATTAAAAATAATAGTGCCCCCAATCTCTGTTAACCCAATTGTATGGCTTTTCTGTTCAATGTCCAATCATATTAAGCATCTACAGGATGTGAAAGCACTAATTACATCATAAAAAAGCAGTGCATTTCTGAGTTTCTGAGTCATAGTCATATGTGTTGGTAATGTCGTCTCGTATGTGCAAGTTGGATATTTATCTTCTTTTCAATGTGGCACAGAAATCCTGTCTGTAATTAATTCCAAAATGGCCTTGAATCTTTTTCGCTCCGGTGCATGTGCAGCACATGTATTTGCACTGAGGGTTTTTGATAAGGTGCTTTATATAAAGGTGACAATAACGTTTATTACAGATGTTGTGTATATCTTTGATATTCTAATGTTTATCCCGTTTTGCGAAGAAGAGAGTACACATCCAAACGCTAGTAATGTATTTCTATTGGTACTGCACAGGGTCTGATCTTTGCTTTGTAACTTTTTTTCGCCGTCATGGCTAAAAGTATGTTAGATATTTTCTAGCTTTGTAGAGACTTTGTACGCATATGCTATTCAGTTTAATAAATGGTCAGTTCCAAACTGTGACCTGGAGTCTTGTCTTGAATCATTATTCCACAACAACAGTAATGCCTAGACACTGAATCCACTCAAATAATTATTTTATAACTGATTAGTCTCCATGACAACAGAGCAAAGTCCAATCAATCAAAAGAGTAGAGAATTGATGACACATTTTTGTTTGCAAATAAGCATTGCAAGAGCTCCTTTGACCAAAATAAATGGGATTATTCCACAAGATTCTGCTTGCATCTTTTTTCTAGGATGGTAATCTCCTCGCCACTTGTATGATTTTTGAAGCATAAATTCAATTCCCAGAAGTAAAAAGCTAACTTGGGCTAATATAACTGCATGACAGCTGCAGCTAAAGGCGGCTAACATTCAACTTGATGACGTTCAGTATTCTCTTTAGTCACACAGATGATTTGGACATTCACTGATTTGTTTTATGTCGTGTTAGTTTGTGTTAACCGCAGACTTTATTTCAGCCACCAAAAACACGTTAAAGAAACAGACTTTTTCGAGACTTTTGATATTTGATGTAATTTTTTTTAATCTAATGTTGAAAACATGAAAGAAAAAAAAGACATAGTATAGGTAGCCGAAAACATTTAAAAATCAACATAGTATAGTTTAAATATATCTTCATGGAGATGCTGATTTCATTTTTCAGCAGGACTTGGCACCTGCCAACAATGCCAAAAGTACCAATGCCTGAGGCCTGTACTACGGAGCCGGATTTTCGCTTAGCGAGCTAACTCGAGGGAAATCTCTGGGTTTCTGGTGTTGTGTCACATTATGCACCCCCACCGTGAAATGCACCACGTGTCACGGGAACGCGCATTTCTAAATGAAACGTTTAGACCTTAAAACAATGCTTAAAACGAAAAGTAAACGTCCAGGGTTTTTTAATGGTAATTTTCAGACTGTGAGTCGCTGAGTGGTAGCTCATATAGTCTTGATTCTTGTGGTTAAACTTTTCGCTCCGTATTTTGATGATAGTGGTGTCGAATCCTGGATTTTGCATTCATTCGTCACTTATTTTTCAGTTATTTATTTATGTAATGTGTTTTTTTTAATTGTGACGTCCTGTCTGTATACACGTGCTTTAAAATGTATTGTTTAATTTGACATATTTGTCATACAATAATCAAAATATATGTTTACAAATGTTACATAGTGTTCGTCAGCATATTTTTGCCACGTTATGCACCCCTTGCTATCTTACATAATAAAAGTGTCACATTCATGAAACTTGCTCCATTTATTGGTACTAGTCCTACAACTATACCCTCAAAAATGCTTGAGGGTGGGATTAATAAAAGCATATTTTTTAGGGGGGTGCATTTCACGGCGGGGGTGCATATTTCGGCACAACAGTTGTGACGTTTTTAATCATGTTGGACATACTGTATGTCCCATATTTCCTCCTACTGTATGTCATTTTTTTCATATTTTCGACTATGTTGTTTTTGACATAATGTTCGACAGGCTACTATACCCTGGGCTTTTCTCATTTCACTAATTTCCCCTCCTCGAATCCTCGGTCCTCCGGTAGTGACCTGGAAATGGATTTCAGCGTGCCATGTTGAAGGACATCTCATTTCTCTAAATGCACTTTGAGGACCGAGCATCGAGGAGGTTCTCTGGAGGAGCTATAATCGAGGATACACTGATGGTTCCTCCACGGATCTTCCGCGGATCTTCCGTGACAGTGATGTTTAAAAGAGTTGTGACGCACGGCCGGACTTATCTCAGCCAATGACAGCTCTGCATGCATCCCCTGGATATTATTTTATTAACTGCTCTCATCGCGATTCGCAACTCAATGTTTACAGTGAGAACAGCTGTGAGGTCCGTGCAGAAAGCAGAGCACCGGTATAATAGAGTGGCGAAGTCCCTCCCCTTCCGGGGGAGCTCCATGGGACCTTATTTCGGAAACATGATGTATTGAAGTCAATGGAGAGAGAAAGATTATCTTTCGATCCCGTTTGAATTGATTTTTGTCAATTTAAAAGATAATTTTGCAAGTCAAAAAAATTAAAATGTGTCGTAAAACTGTGAAATAACACATTTGTTTGTGTGAAACGCTAAATGAACTACATCTCTGGTCTCGCAGACTCTCACAACAACACATGTCACCAAGATGGCCGTCACTACTGTCTTGTCAAAAAAGTGATTGACTACCATCACTATCAACACAATGAAACACGTCCAGAAGAATGTCATGCAAAGCTGCCTGCCTTCCTTTGATTCTCT